AAAGAACGAGTGAGCGATGAGGATGAGAGTGAGAATGGGATGTGAGTATGAGTGTATTCGTGGATGGGCGGGCTTGGCGAGGTACCTGCATGCGACGAAAAAGGTCCCAATCGAGGCAGGGGCCGGCGATGCAACGCGAGGGAAAGGGGGGGACGTCGTTGTCTGTCACTCTCTCATCCACTGTTGGCTGTGGTGACACTGGTGAGGTGAGAAAACCTGAAAATTTGCTACGTTCAGGCCTGTGTGAGACTGCCTCGATGGTGTGTGTGTGAGAAAGTGAGAACGTGAGTGAGTCTGGGCTGTCTCGACTCAGGCGGATGCGTTCGGCGGCAGGTGATTGGTCGAGGAGCGTCGAGGACTGGACCCTGAAGCTTGGACTTTTGCCTTCTCTTTTTCGGGTGCGCTGTAACTGTAACAGGCGGCGGGCGATGAATGGAGGCGAATAAACTTGAGGCGCTGGCGGGAGATGGTCCAATGCCGGCGTCCTAAAATTAATGCGACTTTCTTCAAGATTGTCTGATGTTGGTGGTATTGGCTCGATGGATGCTTCGATCAAGTGTTCGCTGGCCGGTCGGTGCTGCTGCTGACTGAAGCAATACCTCCTTTTTCACCCTTCTTATTCCGGAATTGGCTTCCAACGTGCAACTTGCTCCCTTATGCTTTCAAAGTGTCGCTGACTGTCCGTTCGTGCTAATGTCACGACTCTCGGAAAAAGGCTAACCTTGAAATTGGTGAAGGAGGCTGCCTCTTCTGATGATGCGGCGGGCCTCGTCCTGGTGGCTTATGACGACCCGTTCAGAGGCGATTACGATGGTGGTGTCGAAGGCGAAAGGTCGACAGGGATGTTGACGACGGGAATTATGAGCCAATCGAAATGGTTCCCTCAAAGTTCAAAAGAGCCCACACAAATGTGTCTCTTGTCTCCTCTTTCTCTTGGTGGTGGTGGCAGTGGTTTCAACTGCACCCAGCTCGACAGCGTTTCGTTGGCTGGTAAGAATAGAAGCAGCCGAAGCCAGATAGGTAGCGGCAGGCTTAGCTACTATAGCTAAACCTCACAGTCGCTGCTCTTCGTCGGTCGTGGCGTCGTCAGTTGTGAGGTTGCAGCGCAAAGGGTGCGAAATGCCAATCAAGCGTTCGACGATCCAGATCTCTCCACTCGTTTGGAAACTGGACACCCCGTGTTTCTTTTGCTGCCGTCTTCCCGTTTCTCGTTTTCCCGCTTTTTTTTTGTTCTGTCTCCGCGAACACGGGATTTTCTTGTGGGTTGCAGTCGAATAAACCTGCTGGAGCAGCAATGTCGATCAATTCCGCAGCAGCCGTTCTGAACCTGTCGCTAGGGTCACAGGCAATCGAGTCTGTGGCTGGTCGCGGAAATGACGCTGATGATCGACTTTAGTGGTGGTTAGGTACTTTTTGGTGCAATGCCAATGAGGAGGTCGATGCGCCTCTCGTAGTAAGGTACTGTAGGTATCCAAAAAGACAAGCAACACCAAGCAATAGAATTGGAAAATTGCGAGGAAAAGTTCACGACCATGACCGCGAACCGGTAAACGGGGATTTCAGCCTCTTAAACAAACTAATCCATACAAGCTCCCCCAATCATCCCATCGCCCATCAACTCTAGGAATTATCGATCCTTCCGGCCACTTTTTCAACACCACCACCACCACCCCGCTCGCTCGCTTCTCAGCTTACGGTCTCGGAAGCGCGAAACTAACACATGCAACTGCAAGCCTCTTTCCCCCTCCTCCCTCTACGGCTGAGCTCTTTAGTGCTCGTCTAGCGAGGGAGAAAAGGAAAACGGGCTTTCGGACTGCCTCGGGCTACTCTTTTTGGTTGCGGAATCTGCGGCGTGTAGTCGTGTCAGGAACACTCACTCACTCAACCCAAAGCTGCCTGCTCCCCTCCCCCCGGCAAGGCCTCATCTTCCTTCGCCCCAATTAGACTCGGTTCCATGCAAGCCGTAAGCTCGCCATCAGCAGGCTGGGACAAGTTCAGCTTACCTACCAGGACAAGTCGGACTAGCAGCGTCATCCTCCTATCCACTTCTTCAAAGCCTTCCATTCCTTCAAGCAAGGCCAGCAATCGGTGAATAGCTGCCCAACGGCTTGGAGATTTCAATTGCGAACAATTTGGCAAGATGCCAAGGCCCATTCACCGCCTCAAACAGAGACAAGATATCCATGAATTATAGACACAGAGAAAGAGGGGAATAACAAGCCTCACTCAGCTCGCCAAGGAACGCAGCTGTAGAAAACCCTCCCCAGCAAGACAGTCTAGCTTTACACTTTTCGGCAAACCCCATCAACACAGCCTTCTCCTCTGCGACCCGTAAGCCATCCCGCCGCCGGCTCAATTTTCTGAACCAATCCGCATTCTACAGCACCTTCAGCCCCAGGATGACCGTCCTCCGTCCTCCCTTGGAGCCTTTCGGTTGATCAACAACCCACCAAGAAGACTTGGAACTAGTCGAGATCTGGCTTCCGCAAGAAAACTCTCCTCGCCGTCATCAACGGGGTATATCCTTCTCACACCATCACGGGCCGTTCAGAATATCAAAAAAGTCAAAAAGCCATTACTTCTTCCAGCCATTTCTTGGCTTCACAAGCAAACTGCCATATCGCGCGGGTTTCGTATCCAAAGACAAACCTGGACTTCACTCGGCAAGCTTACCGAACGACAGCTCGGAATAGAAACCCCCTCCTCGAGTTGGTTGAACAACAAGCTTTAAGCCCCTTCACATTCCTGCAGCGACACCTACCTGGTCTGAAGAGTCGCTGCGCTGGCACTTACGGTAAGTAACACAAGCTGCCACGGCTGCCCAAAAGATCCGCAGTGCGTTCCGCTTTGGGCGGAAGCTGACACCGCACCCACACCCATAAGTCACAACCCACCGCCTCTGCCTCCCTTAGCGCCGCACCGCCAGCCGGTTCCAGGAAGACCGTAGGGCTGTGCTACCGAACGGCCCCAGGATTGACCCTCTTCTTTCGCTGGAATCTCTGTACCAGTATCCGCATCTACATCATCCCGAATCGGGCGGGGGTGGAAGGAGAAGGGGAGGGGGGAATCGAGACAAACGGCGGCCCTCCCTTCCGCTTCTTCGGTCCGCTTTGGATTCATGCTTTCGTCCGCAACAGGCCCGTTAGTTCAGTCGTGGCCTGCTCGTCAGCAACATCAGACCTCGAGGATTTATGCATACCTACCTACTGATGTCTCCCCCTTCCCAAGCATTACTCATCCAGCATTGAAGCAATCTGGTCACCCGCCTTCTAGGCCCGTGTCTTTGACCTCCGGCATTTGGGACGGTGGTGGCCAATGATCTCTATTCTAGAGCCACGAGAAGCTGAAAAAGCTCCTTTGCTTAATATCTCTACCTCTGCTTTGGGAAATGATATGAAACCTGCATCTAAGCCATCAAAACTCCTCTTGTCACGCCCGAATCTTCCGACCTTCGTCCAGCTACTACCCATGTAGTCGATACAGAACAGAGCCTTTCCGTCTCCTTCCCTGGTATAAACTCATTGCTAACGCCATTCCCCCTCACTACACCACTGCATAGGCCGAAACATAGCTCACGCTACTGTCTCCTGGGCGCTTGATCAACTCGCTACGATCGTATTGGATAAACGTGAACCGGTGGTCGCCCAGTTCCTCAAGTGCCGCCATTGTCACCCCGATCGGGTGCCTGCCACACACCGTATTCTTGGTCTGTTTGATGCTATCACAGAATTCGCTGTGCTTTCCGGTCTTGATGGCCTCGATCGCCAAGTCATCCACCATCTTGATTGTCTCGTGAATGGGCGCCCCGTCGGGCGTGGGGTCGAATCTGGAAAGCTTCTTCTTGCTGTTGAGCGTCCCGTCCGGGCAGTAGGGCTGATAATCGAAACGCCAGCCCCAGTGACAAAAGTCTGAGCTGACGATGAATGCGTTCTCCGGGTTCTTGACGTACTCGGCGAGCCACTTGCCCACCTCCTTCTCCTCTGCCTTGTTGTTGTCGCCGATTAGGATCGGTACGATGGGCGGGAAGTTCTCGGGCGAGCCAAAGGTCTGTTCCAGCCGGATCCAGAGGTACGGCAGGTGCATCTCCAACGAGTGTTCAGCGTTGTCATATTTTCTCGGAATCGCAGGAATTTCGAGGTCTTCGAAGAGTTGAGATGTGACCTTCTCGTCTACTTTTAGGCTCCCCCAAGGTGTACCATACTTCTCATACTCGCTGACCGCGCAGCCTGCCAGGTAGAAGGTATGAGAGGGCCCGAGAATGAATACGCGTTTCGCTTTGCTGAGGTCAAGGGCCTTATAGGCCCAGGCTGCCGTGGCACCCGAGTAATCGTAGCCGGCGTGGCTATCGAGTCATGTTAGTTCAGCAAATACATACTTGCTTATCGTTCAACGTTATGAGAAGAAGACGGTGTAAGCTGAACTCACGGGGCGATGATGACTCGAGCGCCAGGGACCGGTAGTTCGGTTCCGTCAATTTGATCGGGCACATCGGAGAGGAATCCATCGAGATGCTCCCTGAGTTCCTTGGGGTCGCCCAAGTACCAGGAGCCTGCCTTACCAGGAGGGCGGATGTCTGCTTCTCCCGACTCCATTGTGATGTCTGTAAGTTGAGGTTGAGAGCTACGAGCAAGCGAATCTTCGCAAAGCGTAAGGGCAACAGGTCTCTGGTCAAGACTACTTCTCAGGTTGAAAGTGTATGTACGGAAACGAGAGGGAGGTCAAGAGCTCAGGGTGATAAGGTGACGTGCCTACTGCCCCGCACTCATGGTAGCTCCAGCGAGCTTCGTGCCTACCTCCGGCAATCAGCTCCTGAGGGGCCGGCGAGGGGTAGGTTTCTCCACCCTGGTGCATGATCCGGGCCCATCTTTAGCGTCCGTACGGGTGCCCCCGGATACCCGGGTTAGAAAGAGCCGGGTGCAAACAACATGCTTCCTTCCCGTATTTATTTTTGTGAACAGTCGCTTTACATCAACATAAGTTCATCGTGGGGAAATTAATGTTCATGATTCAACCCAGCTGCCTGGCATGACTGGTCTCGGCCGATCAACAAGAGCCCAGAAATCGGCAGCGAATACCTCGAACTCGGGCGCCCACCAAAGCCTCCAGTCGTCGAGTCGCGACCCATATCTCAAGCCGATCACGCGCACGGGAATCCAGTAAAGATCATTCCTCGAATGCTCTCGGTCTACCGCTCTCATCCACGACTCTCTCCTCTTGAGTGGGTTGCGCACATGTCTTCGCGAGGCCACCATCGCTTCGGCGCCAAATGCCCCTCTGAGGTCAGCAGCGGTGGCGGAATCGAGCGTTCGCATCTCATCTATACCGTACTGTAACAGATCGATGCCGGCGTCTCGTATGGCCCTCAGCCACTGCCGTAAGACCCTCCTGAAGACATCGTCCCACTCATTCCATGGAACTATGGGCGAGATGCGGCAGAGGGTCCCGCCAATGACTGAGAGTAACGGCGTGCCTGTCCAGACTGGGACCCGGTACCCTTCCAAAGGAATGATGGTCTCAACTCTGTGCAAGTGTATTCGATCCGCGGCTCTGAGAGTCTCGCTGACCGAGTGGCTCCATGTGTCGTTGTATGGGTGGAAACGAGGCATGGTCCTCCTCCTCTTTTCCTTAGATTCTTCTTCGTCATCTTCATTCTCCGATACTTGGTCATTGTCGTCCTCGCAACGAAGACGCTCGCCGTAAGACATCTCATCCGCAAACCTTTTCCCCATGGCGATAGCGTCAGAATGAACTAGCGAAAATCCAACCTCCGCCGAACCGCTAATCTCCTCCGCTGTTACAAGCACTCTATCGTCTTCTCTCAGCAGGTGCCTGTAGGTATCATGGCTAAGCACTATGAACGCTCCCAAGCGAACAGCCTCTGCGCGTTCTCGCAGCGGAAGTTGATGATAGCCCGGGAGAAACTGGTCCTGGAAGATGCGCAGCCAGTCATCGCTGTGTGAGTTATCATTTTTAAAGTCGAACATACGCTCCATGTTGAGCGTCGGTACGTTAGCGCTGCGGGACTGAAAGAGAGAAACGAGGTTGAGATGGTTGTCGTCGGATTGGTATGCTAAGTTTTTACGGGACTCGACTAGACTCCCGAGCGGACTTCTGTTTATGCTTATGCTCGTTAGAGACAGCGGCTCTTGGGGAATAATCGAGCTCACTCGTTTGACCCGCCATCATCATCTATAAGGTCTTCGAGGCCAAGGTCTAAAAGCGTTCGGCATACTTCGAGTTGCTCTCTGAAAGTAGCATACTGCGACGCAATGTTAACTTTCCAAAAGACGTTAAAGGCAGGGGCTTCAGAACTAACATATAATAGAGACCCGCCGTTTTCGTCTCTATCGAGCGGCGATGCGTCTCCTTTACTGAACATGGCCATCATGCTTGTCACATTGCCCCTCCCCACGGCCACAAAGATATCGCTATCTCTCGGCCTGACGCTGAATGACCGCAGGCTCTGCTGCCACCCGCCAGTCATACTCCAACTGATCTGTATCTGCCACACAGCTCGGGATATCCAAGCTGGGAACTGGACAGATAGACCCCATTCGCTCTGTTCTCTCGAACAGACGGTCGCGAGCTGGCCCCTCGCAGTGGGTTGGTACGACGGTAGTTTCGCTCCCATCCAGGCCGCTTTTGACCTGATAATGACATACTTTGGACTTTCTTCCTCTTTGTCGCGACAACTTTCCGGCGCTTGCAATTGTTTCGCCAGTTTCTCTAGTTGTTCTGACACTTCGTGCGATACCTTTTGCGCAATCCTCTCCTCGCTTACCTCGTGTAGCTTCCTCTGGCTTTTGACTACTTTCGCGGCCATCTTCTCAGCTATCCTATCATGAGATGCTTGTATCATCGCTCTGTAACACGAAGAAAGTGAGCAAATGTTCTCTGATCTCGAATTTGACTCCTCCAAGTCGCCATTTACTAACCTTTCATAAGACCCAACACACATGAGAACCATCCCAACCGCCGAATCCAGCCTCCGCTCCAATTTGACCACATCATCACGCTTCAACCCAGCCCAAGCAAGTCTCATCTTCCGTTTCGCGCGGCCATGGATACTCGCTTTTGGCGGTTTATGCGTAGCAGTTTTTAGCTTCTCGACCATATCCTTGAGGGCGTGATGCGCCTTGGTGGCGTATGCTATGCACGCCTTCGCGTGCCGTGCCGGTACTTGGAGACTCGGATCCGGACCGCCGTAGTCCTCTTCGGAGCTGGATATCATGGTGAACATGTCTTCCAGGACGGGACCCAGGGCTTCGAGGCGGTCGACGGCGTCTTGAATGTCTACGGGAAGATCTTCAATCGAGTGCCAGAGGTGGACGGCTTTGGAGATGCCTATGCACAGCTGGCCCAGGGCTATGCCGCTGGCAGCGGCACCGATCGCTTCCATTAGAACAACAAATGTAGCGGCCGGACGTATTGTCTAGCTTCTTCAAGGAGAAATGAGAGAAATGAACCATGGAGCTTCCCATCCATGCAAATGTTGACGGCTGTGAGTAGCGACGACACGTAAAATGAAGGACGCTTGAAGACAGGAAAGCCTTTCGAAAGTGTCTCCAACTGCTCGAGGAATAGAAAAGGAATCAGCTACCCAACACTCATCAACCGGGACCAGGAGACCAAGAGGGATCCCATCAGCCGTCTCTGCCATAGCCCTGCGGCACAGTCACGGATGCGGGACGGCCCTGCTGCCTCGGCGGCAAACCTGCATATGTCGACAGGGGTGATGGCCATTCAAAGCCGGCTTAAGATCCGCAAACCGGCCGGGCTCAAGACCCAACCAACAGGATCTGAAGGCTGTGGGAAATCAAACACCAGCACTTACCTAGTCAACAATTCTACTGCATGGAGAAAGCGCTGCTTGTATGAGATCACAATGGACTCAGATGCCATATTGCTGCCGAGTATACGAAAAGAAGAGCCTGAAATGTGTGGTATAGAAGCGGACTGGGCTGATGTGTTCTCTGAGGTTGTCAAGTGTCTACTTGTACTTAGATATGCTGCCAGTCTCACATCGCTCAGCCCGTCGCATCTTGCTTACAATCCCGCGGTATTTTGCGTGCTGGTCCAAGTCACTCTCTGTTCAGGCACGAAATCAGGGCACAATAATAGCTCTCTCATGTGTATTTCGTGCCGTGTTATTTCCCTTCAAAGCCGGATCCCGTTCTGTTTGATGGCTAAAGCTTGTAAAGCTGGAGAGTTTTCCACTATTGTATTCAGAGCGGTGCTTTTATCTCACAATATTCAGACCATATCATTGGCATGAGCTCCTCGTCTAACCATTCCCTTGCTACTTCCTCCTCTTGATACTCGTAATAATATCTATCGCGCTCGTCTACCCATCCACCAGGGACGTTGACGTCGAGATCCACCCGATGAACCATTGCCCAAAACTCGCCTGCATAATGCTCGTATTCGGTAACCCACCAAAACATCCAATCATCTTTCGATTTTCCATAAGTAATACCAAGGAGGCGAAGCCGAAGCGTCAGGTAAGGAGGTCTGTAGTTCACTGCAAGTGTGCGATGCCATTTTCTTCGAGTAGTTGTAAGACCTTCATCATGAAGCCGTCTTTCTTTGCGCCCATAGTCCAAGAGATCAGTCCCATTCAAAGTCAAAACATCCAACCAAGCTGACATTCCCCTCTGTAGGCGTTGATAATTTGAGGCCCATCGGACGCTCATTGACCGTGGATAATCAAAGAACCAATAAGGGGCCTTATCAATTAGAAATGAGAAGGCGGTTTGACTTCTAGTATATGGATGGCAGGGGAACTCGGCATCTTCAAGATGACAAAGACCCGCAGGGTCAAGTTCGAGGCAAGTTCTGAGAAGTTCGCACCATTTTATCTGAGACCTCGGTTCTCGGTCGACATGATATGACTTAGCCGCAGTCCGACGGACCATGCCGAAAGCCAACGATTGCAAGAGGGAGCAGTAGCCTGCCGATCGTGATGACACAAGAGCATCAATGCCGAGATTTTCAGTCTCCGGCAACAGGAAATGCAACTCATCCGAGGAAAATTGACCATCTGGGGCCCTCCAGACCATTGTCCGGAAATGCTGCAGCCTTTTCCTGAACGGAAATGATTGGTATCGACGGCGACCCGCATATTTAAATAAGATCCGGAACCCTGCCATCGTTCTGCTCCTGTCAAGATAAATGTCAAAAGCTTCGGGACCCTCTAGAAGATCACTCAGGCCATGTTTCGAAATTTCGACCAGCGCTGCATGTGCATTCCCATAGTTTACTTTCTCATCAAACGAGAACCATGTTAACGCGTTGAAAACCCATGGATAGCTATTCATCGTCAGAGAATTGCAGCCTTGGTGAAGTGGGAAAATGAAAAGGTTGTCTTCACCTGCGATTGTAACTTGAAGAGTTTTCTAGCACACACAGCCCTAGACCATACTCTAGTAGCTTTTTGACTATACTCAAAGAACCGCGTGAGAACGCACACTGCCAAACACGTCGGGTCAGAATTTTCGTCTTAAACAGGAGGATGAAAGCAAGCAGAAACCATACCTCAAGTAAAGTTGATCCATCCCGTTTTCGAACGAACGGTGACATCTTTTGATCATCCAATTGTCTGAGAAATGCAGGGCAGTCGTCTTGCCTCATTGTTCTGTACAATTCATGGCTAAAATTGCCCACGACTTCGTAAGATCTGAGGCTCAGTTGCCACCCCCATAAGCTTTTCTGCGCCAGGACGGAATATACTGATCCCGTAAGCCAACTAGGTGGCTGCGCGTGCAGCTTGTAGCCGACGTCTGATTTCCAAGCCAGGCAGATTCTGCCAGTCATGGTTCGTCTGTGGGAAAAGTTCGCCATTGCTGGCGCTTTAACAACAAGGGACTGGCTGGTGTTTGTGCCACCGTCAACCGAGGTGTCTTAAGTTTGACCTCGAATGGCAGTTTGTGTGTTGGGCAACTGAAAAGACTTTATATCAGATGACTGCTGTAATTGAACCATCACAGAGTATGACAGCAGAGATCTAAATGAATGACAGTCAGCCTCATGGTAGAGTGATTGATGAAAGAAATTGCTGACGTCAAATACTGCTCGCGAGCCAGCCTGAACAGCTCCAATGCCAAATTCAGCTTCGAGTCCAAATCAGAAAGGTCCTCCTTTCGAAGAACAGCCTTTGTCGACGCCAGATTCCTCTTTAACCTTCGTGGATCTGTGACCTGGGTGTACAGCTGATCGACTATCTCCTGCAGATCCTTCAACACAGCCCGGGTTCTATAGATGTATTTTTGCAAGAGAGCACTATTCCAAGCCTGTTGGGGCAGAGGACTATTGAAGGCCTGGCTCTCTGTCTCTAGAAGAAAGTCTTCAAAGTCCCTGAGCCGCTCGGCCTTTTCAAGCAGCGCATCTGGGATATTTTTGATCTCTTTCCACAGGTTGACGAGTTTGATCGAGGCTCCTGCGACTTTTGCCGTCAGCTCGACGACAGCGATGACGCTTGAGGCTAGCCCGAGGGCTTCAGCCATCGCGAGTAGTATCTAGCTGTTGGAGCTCGGCTGGTTCGGTGAGACTGCAATGAATATAGGTTCTCAGCTGCGAGATGAGAAGAGAGGCAAAGTTTGGTAAAATTGGGTGGGAAGTGAGATGGCAGGAAGTGAGGGAAATGTCCGAGGGGCCATGCTCTTCATGCTCATGGGACTGTGCCGCAACCATTGGCTGGAGCTGGGCGGTTGTCCTATGCGGCCTGGTGGTCTGGATGCTCCTCATGTTGGTTCGCCTGTTGGTTGCCTGCATGATGGCTGAAGCTGACTGGCGGCGATTGGAGGCTCGCATCAAGTCTGCCTTGTCATGCCACTCAGACACGAATCATTGTCTACTATTAGCGCACTTTCGTTGATGTATCATTGCCATTTTGTAGAATCAAGTCACACTGCAGCTTGCCCCAGCAAATTTAGGTACTAGAGTTAATAGGTGCAGCATGAAGAACCCACGTGAGAGTCGTGTATGAAGCTCATATACGCAACTGAATTTGTGGGAGCATCCTTATGAGGGAAACTACATCTGGGTGGTCACGAGTTGCTACCACACTCCGTACAATAGGTACCTTTTGGGGGTGTTGGGGGTGGGTGGAACAGACTGACACTTAACCTGGCTCACGGTCTATTTAGCCCGGACATGTGCAATGCGGGAACCCATTTCCATGCTTCACGAACACCAAATCGCTTGAGACATTGGTCCACTTGAGGATGACGTTGCATGTCTCCCCGGACCTCCTCCCCGTGGAGAGCCGCTTCATCCGAAAGTACCCCGGACTCGGATACTCCACAGCGGCCCGGGTGGATACACCCCGCAGGATACTATCGGCGTGAGTCACCCCGCACTTGAGCCCGAAAACGGCATCTTTTCGGCCTTGCCGCGCCAGCACATTTTCCTCAAATACCTTGGCATTTGATATCCGATACCGTCCTATGCCAACATCTCATCTTGTAACGAGTATACAGCAGTCAGTTCCTGTGATAATCAGGCATCATTACGTTTGATATCTGTCCGAGCCCCCAACCATGGAAACCGCCAGAGAGAGTTCCCAAATCGACAACCCAGTCAACACGCCCTCAAATACGATTGCAACAACATACCACTCTGTAATCGAATCCACAATATACAACAACCTCCCAGCAGTCATCAAAAGATTCAACTTCCCCGAAAACCCAAGAACCCACCACCGCTGGCGCAAAGAAGTCGAAGCCCTCAACCTCGCCAGAGGCCACGTACGTACCATTTACACCTACCTACGTGCTATACATCCATACATTCCCGCTTCCCCCTTTTAAAAACCTGGCCTACGTCCACCTAAACTCACTTCCATCCCAACTTACACTCTCAACAGCCAAACATATCCCAAATCCTAACCTCAACCCCCTCCCCACCAACAATAACTCTCCGCCACGAAGCCGGCCTCAGCCTCGAAAAATACATCAACCGCAAAACCTCCACCTGCACCCTCTCCTACTCCGACGCCTTAGCAATCTGGTCCCAAACTGCATCAGCCCTTTCCCACCTGCACTCAACTTGCAACATAATCCACGACGACGTCAAACCGGAAAACATAATCTTCTCCTCCCCCTCCCCTCCTCATCCCCATTCATCACCTCACTCTTCAACTCACAGAGACGAACACCCACAACCCCACGCAGTCCTCCTAGACTTCGGCGCCGCCCTCACCCTCTCCTCTTCGTCAACCCCCCCCTCTCCCGACCTCAACATCTGGTCCCCCTCCGGCACACCCCCCTACGCACCCCCCGAATTCCTCCACCGCACCAAATCCCACGCCTCCGATGTCTGGGGACTAGGCGTCACCCTCCTCTTCTGCTTCGGATACATCCCGCTGCCTACGGGCTCCTGGATCCTGCCACACGTGTTTGAAGACGAAGCTGTCAAGCAAGAAATGGTGGCGTGGTTGGATGAGATCGAGGAGTTGAGGACGTCGTTGGGGAGGAGCGGGGATAGTGAAAAGGTGTTGCTTGGGAGGATGTTGGAGAGGGATCCGGAGGTGAGGATTGGGAGTGGGGAGGTTGTGGAGGTTCTTGGGTCGTGATGGTAGGGGAAGGTGAGTATGGTCATGAGGGTGAAGAGCAAGATGAGATCTAGATCTATCATTCTTCACGATATATCAACATGAATGAGAATATCGCCATAAACCACACAACCCGCTCGAGTCACCCCACGGCACGCACCACCTCCCATCTCCCCATTTACACTTACACACTCACACACATACATCCATCCACCCACACACAGTACACCGACCCAGACCTCCGGAAACCTCCATCCCAGAAATCCAAACCTTTCTTTCTCTCAACTCTAACCCCCCCCTTCCTACATATTCATACTTACACACCCTCACTCGAAAAGCAGGCCCAATCCTAGATTACCCTCACGATCCACCCCAGCACAGCCCTGCACCGTTCAAACCTCCCACGCCAAGCCCAGATCTCGGAAACTCTATTAAACACAAGAAAAATCACCCGCATACCTACCTATACCATACGCCATACGCCATACAACCCCAAATCCCCTCCAAGGGCGTAGATGAGAACCCCTGACCCATGCAATCCGGATCAGACTCCGAACTTCCCCCTCCTCCCCTCCCAAATTCGGTCATCCCATCCACGGCACGCTCGGATACCTAACCCTCCACCACCAACAAAGTCTAGATCCAATCTCACGAAAAGTCTCACTCGGTTTCGCTTCGCTTTCTTGGGTAGACAGAGAAGCATCCCGTGAAGAAAATCACGTCAACACAAAAAAAGTCTTCAAGGAAAGAAAAGACAGCTGCGCCTCCCGAGACCCTACGCCTTCACACCCAGCAAATCCAGGGACCAAATCGCTCAACACCGTAATATATCCCAAAACCAACAAGACTCAGAGGAAAGAAGTTCATTTGTATCAAATTTCGATTTCGATTTCTGTCATAATCGACTAGAATTGTTTAAAATAATAAAAAAGAAGAACAAAAACCTGGGCTCGTAAGCAGCAGGCAGACAGAATCTCATCAAGAAACCCCTCGGACTCCCATCCCCCCAAATTCTATCGGTTTCCGAATATGTATAACCACAAACCACGTCGCCCGCATTTTTGTATTCTCAGGAGTTCCCGGTTCTTCCATTGCTTCGTCAAAATCCAAACCCCATCGCCTATACGCCGATCGAAATGCCAAGATGCAACATGACCTGTTCGCGTCACCGTCCCTGTCCCCAATCTCTGTCCTTCCCGATTTCTCTGCTTCCATATGTACAAGTCTCTCTGTGTTACGTTTGTAAGCATAAATACAGTGACCGGGCGCCATGCACCTCGCTGTGTGGTAGTAAATGTCTTCCCCCTCGGTAAGCACTTGGACAAAAACGTAGGATGCTGTGAGAACTCCCCAATGTCTATGACCTCCGCTTGTGTTCCTCCTTTTCCAACTTTTCCACGTTTTCCTCTGTTAAGGAATCCCCGGCTACCACCGTCTGGAACGATTCTCCTCGTCGCGGGAGCTTCTTCCCACCCGCAGCTTCCATAAGCTTGCCTTGCTGTGCTTGCAACGCGAGCTCATCAGTCTCAGAGCGCCTTATTGGCTTGATGGATTCCGCCACGTTTGGAGAATCGAATGGTGACGGCTCATAAGAGTTGTTCCTGGTAAGAGGCCTGGGTGTCACCGGATCGCCCCGACTTTCACGATCCGTCTCCTGGCTTTGCTCTCGTTGGCGGCTCGAAGGCGCCACTGCTTCTGTAGAAGTAGGGGGCGTGGGATCTGGGTGGTCATGTGCTACGCCGGGGATGTCGGCGTTGCTGCAGTGCGCAGCGGTGTCTGAGCAATCAGACATGGACCCATCTGATTCCCTGTACGTTGTTTGTTGCGACCTCTTCATCAAGCTCCATCGGACAAGCATCCTTTCCAACGTCTTGCTCTTGACTGGTTTGGCAAGATAATCGTCCATTCCTGCTCGAGTGCATTTCTCCTTGTCGCCTTGGATCGCCGATGCCGTCATCGCCACAATCGGTACATCTTGTACGTAGGCCTTGTACGGTAGGTGGTGGCGAAGTAGATGCGTACACTTATAGCCGTCAATGACTGGCATTTGCACGTCCATCAATATGATATCCGGCTTGCTGTGTTTGCCCTGTTGGGCTGCCGACATGTATTCGAGCGCGTCCTTCCCGTTCCATGCTGCTGTTACCGTGAAGCCAAGTTTCATAATCGTCTTGGTTGCAATTTGCTGGTTAATTGCACTGGGAAATCATTAGTACGGACCGTAACGTGGCCAATAGGAATTTACTCACTTATCCTCGACGACGAGAACGCGGATTTTAGCACGTTCAGCATGTGGCAACAACTCTTCGTCCGAGGCCGGCGGTGTCCGTACCGAAAGTCGCCGTGATGGAGACTTGTGTTTGTCGGTTAGGAATTGCGACGACTCTCCAGAAGCTGGAGGCGTGTTAAGAAGCTGTTCAAACTCGGAACTGTGGCAAGAGACGCTCATTTCAGACTGCAGCCTGTCCGGGAGGGAACCGATTTCGACAAGCGGTGCCCTTTGGTTCTGGGGTTTGCTGAAGGGAACCCAAAACGTTGCCACTGTTCCGTTGCCAAGGGCGGATTCCAGCGTCATCTCTCCATGCATCAACTCGAGAAGGTTCTTGCAAATCGTCAGACCCAAGCCCGTGCCACCAAACTTTCTCGCTGTCGAGGCGTCTCCTTGGCTGAAGGGTTGGAACAGCTTCTTCCGCACCTCCTCCTCAATTCCGATACCGCTATCCTCAACGATGAATTTAACGACAATGCTATCCGATGTCTCCTTCTCCTTCTGCACTGAGAACTTGACGTAACCTTGGTTGGTGAATTTTATACTGTTGGTCAAAAGATTCGTAATGATCTGGCGTACACGACCGGGGTCACCAATGACAACCAGATCCCTCTCGATTTCTTTCGATATGTCGGATCGGAAGTCCAGATTCTTTCGCTCCGCGGCAAAACTCAGCATTTTACTGACATCCGTGACAATGACTGAGAGAGAGAACTGGACTTCTTCAATGTCGAGACGTCCGGATTCAACCTTTGAGAAATCGAGGATATCGTTGATGACCGTCAAGAGTGCATTCGCCGACCTCTGGATATTTTCGACGTATTCGGTCTGTTCGGCGTCAAGTTCCATATCTCTCAACAACTCGGCCATTCCGATGACGCCAGTAATGGGCGTTCGGATCTCGTGTGACATCTATCAACTCATTAGTTCCTGCTTTCATAGACTCATATACCGCACTTCACTCACGTTAGCGAGGAATTGGCTCTTGAGCCTGTTTGCTTCCTTTGCGGCCGCCTCGTTCGCCATCGCCTGCTTCTTCTCACGAGATTCCTCTTCCAAATCTTCAGCCTTTTCCTTGAGCTCACTCACGTCCATAATGACTCCGATGACGCCTTCGATGCGTGTCTCGTTGCTCACGATAGCCTCCTTCGTCTTCTTGCCGAGAATAGGTAAGAATCTCGTCCGGTACCAGTGTCCGTCCATGCCGTGCTCTGCCACCTCTTCCGTCTTTCCGCCTGCCAAAATATCTTCGACGGGGCGGAGGAATTTGGGGCGTTCCCCAGTCTTGAGCTGAGGGTTGAGTCGGTTGAAGACCTCGTACATGTTTTGGCCGAGGAACCAAGCCGATTGATTTGCGGCACTGTCATCCCCATTGCTGTCCCACATCAGCGCACCTTCCAACATGGTAAGGTTCAGGTTAGTGTCGACGGTAAAGATGGTGACCTGGGAATGCGTAAGAACGCTCAGTAGCTGCTGTCGGGTGCTCCTAGCAGCGAGTTTGGCCTCGATGCTTTCGTTGACGTCGGTGCAAGTTCCAAACCACTTTTCTATCTCGCCCGTCTCCTTATTCCTCTGCGGCAGAGCTCTACCCAGCATCCACCTCCATTCGCCGGTTTTGCTGCGGCATCGGTACTCTGTCACATAAGGATTGCCGGTTTCCAGAGAGTGCTTCCATCGTCGAGCACTTTCCGGTATGTCGTCCGGGTGAAATGGATGCTTCCATCCCAAGCCCATCGACTCCTCGGGAGTGAGTCCCGTGTATGAGTACCATCGTGTGTTGAAAAAGTCGTGATAACCATCTGGTTTTGTCGTCCAGACCAGCTGAGGCATCGTATCGCATATCAGCTTGAAACGCTCCTCGTCCCTCTCTTTAATCTCGACAATCTCTTCCTTCATTTTGGTGATATCTCTAAAGGTGACGACGCCGGCCAAGAATTCTCCGGTGCTGTCATCTCGAATTGCCTCCCCGAGCGCGTCGTAGACAATCTTGTTATTCAAATGGTCAACCATACCAACGCGCATGTTGGTGAAAGGCGTCTCTGTTCTGAGCAGTACCGAAATGGGATACTCGCTCACATCCAACTCTCTCTCAAAGTCCTGGTCCCAAACTGTCCAACCCGGTAGCAAATCGAATCCGTCTGATGATTTTTCCAGGTCGCTTTCTTGCCGTAATAGTATTCGAGCGGCGCGATTCGGGAATGTCACGCTTCCATCCTTCCACATCGCAAGGATGGGCATTTCCGTGTTATCGAGCAAAGCGTCTTTCATGAGAATCATCTTCTGCAGGATCGAGGGCGAGCTCGCATGGACGGCGGTAGAAGGCGGACCCATCGGCGGGAACGGGCTCGACGAGAGCGATACAGCGCTCGGGCTAACGCGAAAAGATGGTGAGCTCGAGTCGTGGCTGGAACTGACGGAGGGCGGGTTCGAATTGGATATTGTCTTGCGGTCTGCTTGTTCCAGCATGTTGGGTCGTGCGACCGCCTTACGGCTCGGGGCTGGCTGAGAAGGTGGAGAATTTGTGCTGGTGAAAGTTAGGGTGAAGTAGACTTGGTGATCCTCAATCTCCCATATCGTAACAATCATTTTGGCGTAAACTTGATGATCCGATCCCCAGCCCTTGGCCCGGGGATGAAATCCCGGCTTTCCCAACTCTTTGCGGGAGATGATGACATCCACCACGGCATCTTTGACCAAACATGGACCCGATGGATGGTCCGATAATGGCGGGGCGAGCGAATCCGGGGTCGGTGTCGCCTCTCCACCTTGTCCTTGGGCAAACATATCCGCGGCATCCTTTGACGTCTGATTTGCGCCCATTTCGAGAACGAGAGAATCCAAAAACGCCTCCCATCCTACCCAAACTGGATGACCTTCCTGGATCATGTCGATACCAACCTGTGATAAGGACTGCCCTCTCAACCTCTCAGCAATGTATGAGTTGTCTTCGGCTGCATCGTTTGTCAATCCAAGCATCCTCCCCATGGCTTCATTGGCAAGGACTACAGTCTTGAGATTATTCAGGACCAGTATCGGAACTGGCAAGTATTGCATGGCGGAAAATGCGAGCTGCCCGGGCGTGATGAAAGGCATCGATATGCGAAAGGGACTAGCTGAATGTGACCGTTTGTCTTCACCGGATCCCATCTTGAAGTTCTCGCGAAA